TATCAACTTTCAAGCAAAACTCAACGGTGCTATGACAACTGGAGCTACAACAAAAACAAGAAAAACCGCATTAAATGGCAAAACCGGCATACGTCGAGCGCAGAGAGTGCAGAAGAGGCAGAGCTTTGAGGTCAAACAGGACATTTATGCGAAATGACTGCGTGCGTATGGGTGTGTGTGTGTGTGACAGGAGGGGAAAGGATATTCTAACCCAAAACAAAAAAGAAATATTGCAAAAAGGTTGCTGCAAATGAGAAAATGAATATGTGTAACTAAGTTTTGGTGAATTTAGATAGGAATTTTTGCGAATGCTGACAAACATGAACTCACGCTCAACAAGACAAATACATACAGACGCATAATTTAGCTTACATAAGCGTTCATGTAATTGGTAAGAGGAGTAACTTTGTATATAAACATTGACATATATATATATATATAAAGGTTTATGTATATGTGTATATACACCCACAAACATTTATAGCAGCTACATATACATACCGTTATGCAAAAATCCCGTTAGTGTGCACTTTGATTGCAAACACCGGTCTTAATGCCTTGTGTGTGGTGATGCATGAATGCTTAGATTTCCGCTTATCCAAAGACAGACTGCTCGCAGTTCATATGCTGCCACAGCTCATGTTTACAGTGCCGCTTCCTTCTTTCTTTCTATGGATGTGGAAATTTCATGCGAATTTTTGGCTTTCTATTTTGCTACATATTTTCCCTACAGCTGAAGTAAATTAAATTTCATATTTTTTCGTGGCAATAATAAAAACAAAAGCATTGAAATAACAAAATGTAGAGCTGATAAAGAATTTGTGGGAGTTTTTGCACAAAGTATTTTAGGAAAATATTGTGGCTAACACCTTGGGGATCTATCCGCTTCACCGAATGCAAAATATGTTGGTAGAATATTCTCTACATTTTGTTGTTGTATGATGCAAGCGAAGTCCACTTCATTAAATTGGTAAATGTGGGAGAGAGATAGCGCAATTCTGGCCGAAGGCTCAGTAAATACTGCTAGAAGAATACGTCTGGTGAAGAAACCTTTTGTCATATATAAAACGTTAACACAAGTTGATTAGTGAGCTATATATCTTTCAAAAAGAAAAAATCTCTTTACTGTTCAAAACTCTGATTTAGCAATGTTGCTAAGAAAATTCTGAAGTATCCTGAACAATCTTTCAGACTTATAAACTATCAAAAAAGCAATCGAAGGTCAGGGAAACCAAAAAATAACAAAACTAAAGAGCAATGTTCACCGTATTTTATAGTGTATAGGATACGAAAAAATAATTCGAACGAGACCACTCCTCTCGCAGGGTTGAATTCTTGCGCCAGGGTTGATTTTCATTTTCTTTTCCATTCAAAATATCTCGCACAAATAAAGAGAACTAGATAAATTGCACTAAAATTAAATAGTTTTTGTTGTAATAGAAGAAAATATTCCACCAAATAATTTTAAGGAAATCTGCTGAAGTTTACAGCCTTTCGAAGGCGATGAACCAGATATGAATAATCAATAGATAGGTGTTACAACTAAGAGCAGATATTTCCTTGATTTTCAGCAAGATATTTCCTTGTCTTATAAAAAAGCAAAAAATTTTGACTTTCGTCAGTCAGTGAAGATTCCAGAGCAGTAGATACAATCGACGTATACTCATTGGTTTGAAGCGAATCGTCAGTAGTGAAAATATAATAGATCTCCAGACTTTAGTGAAGTCTACTCATTCATCAGAAGAATTTGGAGCGAATATATAATAGATCTCCAAATTATACTGTAGTAAATTTATTCGACTGTATGGAATAATCAGAAAAAATAAATACGAAATTATAATTGATCTTCAGATGTTACTGAAGTCCGCTGATTGGATTGGACCGAATCGTCAAAATAATTTGGTCCAAATATATAATAGATTGTCAAACGATGCGTTTCCCATATGAACTTTTGGCACTCTTTTCGGAACCGATCCAATAAGCCATTATCGCATATCTTAAGCAATGTTTGAAATCGAAATTTGAATCGGCTGGAAATGCCTGAATTGGATGAAGGTATTGTCTCTGGATCGACTAGCAGCACTACTTTTAGAGCAACATATTCAATAAAACCATATTTCGTCAAAAAAATAACAGTATCAACGTAAAAGTAGCATTTGAAACAAACACAGCAGAAGAAAGAGGTTATAATCTCACTAATATCACATAACTATTACGAACTGCCCATTCATATGTATACATATAAATAACGAGTTCACAGAATACAAAACAAAATTAACTAATCAAGAAGATTTTAAGATATTTTTCGAAGATTTTCTATTCAAGTATTTGTATAGTTATATGTAAATATGGTATACAAGTATGCTAGTATATTATACAAAAATGTATATAGTATGTACCTATATATACGTACAATAGATAAAAGTACAAATCCCTCTATTCCAGAAGGATTTAAAGCTTTTAAAAAAATGTCTGAAATCTTAATCTAAGCTCTTATAGAATTTAAGTCATCTCAAAGCGCTTTAAAGTTGTTTTACAAAAATAAATTTTAAATTTTAAGGCACTCAAAAGGTTTTAATTTTATATATGCATGTATGTACTTATACATATATCTACATGTGTATGTATGTGCGTGTGTCTAGGCCTACATTTAAATTCCGGTTCCATCAAAATCAGTTTTATTTAATACTAATCTACCCAACAAGACATTTAGGGCCCAATATTCGAAAATATGAGCCCATAAGGATAATAACGGTATTAGCTGTGCGCAGCACACACGCACACACCCACATGCTAGCCTGCTTCCAAACGCCTTTGCAGGCTGTGGCTAAGCCAAAAGATAGACAAGATAAACAACTAGGCATAGATGTGTCCACACACGCACACACATATTAAACATGCACACATATATGACCCACAACCGAGAGGTCGCAGCCGAACTGGCAAAGCGCCTAGCACTAGGCAATGAAAACATGGCATAAAATATTTAAAGATGCTGGCGTTTGACTGCATAAACGCCACGATTTTGTGTGTGTGTCTCTTGTTTTTGTTGCTGTTGGTTTTACTCCCTTTCGCTATGTGAAGCTGTTGGGCCAATTTCTCGGGTATCAAAAATGAAAAACAGCAAGCGCACTCAATGAAAATGCCATGAGTATAAACATGAAATACAATAAAATAAAATAATATGACATGGAAAGCAAGCAAGCTGCTTCTTCTTATTCTCTGATCCTTCTTTTTCTTCTTCTGCTACTTTTTCTTCGCATTGGCTGCTGCTGCGTTACTTCCGTGCTGTTTATGAAGCATTCTTTTCGGCGCTAAAGTTTTTCTGCATGATTACAGTTAGCGCAGGGTGAAGTTGCGCTTTGAACTCCATACTTTTTATTGGCACCTACTGTGTAACGGAAGTTGCGGGAGCGAGAGCGAGAGAGAGTGGGATGAGCGCAGCAATAATTTTGCGTATTTATTCTAAGCTATAAAACGATGCAAAATTTGTTTTGTTTCTGCGGCACAAATCTCTTGCTGCTGAGGCGGGGAACATCGTACGTTTTATCACCACTTCCGTTAGCATAATATATACCAAAGCGTGCTGCGAAAATGCGCTGAACGTGTGGCAAATAGAAAGAGCTTTGGATGGGCGCGAGTGTTAGACCGAAGAGATTTGCATACTTACGGTATATTGTGAAGATAGAAATTGTGTGTAGAAACAAATTACAAAACTGCTTTGGAAGAGCGTACGCCTTGAGTACACGCTGCCCCGAAATGTGGCAAGAAATCGTGAAATTTGTTTATGATTTACGTTTATGTTGCGGATTTTCGTCGTCGCGCTATGTTGTTATTGTTGTTGTGCAAATATAAATGGATTTTTACACATTTTGTGTGATTTAAATATTTTTAAGGAAATAAAAATATATTTCTGGTGCGTTTTACGCTCTTGATTGGCAGCTTGCACTGCGAAATGAGCACTTTACACGGTCAAGCAGATGTGCCACGATGCCTAAACAATTCGATTGGCGCGTGCATGTATGTGTCATATTTGTAAAAACAGTCGAGAGCCGAAACACCTTTTTCGGATATGCCAGTCCATAAAATATATGTATATATTTTTGGCGAATGTAGTTCACTTGACCCAAAGGATGCGCTGCAGCGAATGGCGTATGAGAAGTTACGGAACTGTTTTTATACACACACATATATATGTGTATATATACATATAAGTGCCCTATACCTCCAAATAAGTCTATATGGCAGCCACCTACCCTTTCACCGTTATCTTCAACTCTTTGCACTCGTGTCCTGCGGCGTAAAATGCATCGAATGTGCAGAGCCACGTGTGTCAATGCAGAAAAATGGCATCCGTACAAGTCTTCGTCATATGCCGTTAAGCATCAACTGATATATAAACTTATATAAAGTTGTGCGTTACGGCGAAAATTGAGTTTTCGACAGTTGAACACTTTTGTAGCCGGCGCAAATAACGACACCGAGTAATTGAGGTTATGCATAAATTTAAATTTATCAACCGAGATAAGTTCAGGCACCCACAGGCGTCACAATATGCATTCAAGCGGTGTTTTATTATTATAAAAAAAGTTTGAATAAAGAAATCCTTTGGTGGCGCACAAATCTTTGAAAATTGGATGATGGCACAGTGGAAAAAGGGTTATTGGTGATATTGGGTTAATACGTAAGGTATGCTTAATCGATTCAGATATATCTATTACCCCTATATACACAAAATAATTACTTTCGCGCTGCAACAACGCCTATATATACAATATAATGAGTCTGGTGACACCTAGCGTTCAGTTAAAATATGAACTAAGAGTCTATAAATACCGCTTTCGGTAAAAATTCGACTATGGAACCACAAACTGTAATTTCATTATCACCACATTATTACTATTACTTACAAAGGGCTAACGGAAACTTTTTGTTGTACGCTTTTACATATACGAAATAATGATTATATTGGTGTTCAGACGTTTGTTCGTATGAATTACCTAATAAATTTTTGCACTCCAAGAGTATAGAGTTTTAAAATATTATTTCAAAACAATTTTAATTATCAGTTTTTGTTGGTTACCTGAAAAGAGAAAAATAAATATTAAATTGATGAGTATACCTGGTATTTGATATGTATTATATAAATAACTAATATATACCTACTTACATGTATTGTAGATATGATATAAATATAGCAAATTAATATTTTTTAGTGTGTATTTTATTTAATAGTGTAATTTATTGATAAAATAACAGTTTGCTTCGATGAAAAGATGAATTTTGTGATATCGTTACCAGCTAAAAAAAAAATAATTCCCTTTCCTGCCTTGAAATAAAAAGTCTCCGTTCTAGTATCTGGGATTTCTATACATCTCAGTCTCTTTGACCGATTTTAAGCAAACCTGATATACATGTATAATATATAGTTCCGATATCTCTGGCTCCATTATAACAAGAATATAAATAATAACGAAATCCATTATTTTTCAATTATGCAGTAATCTGTACCTCGCGTGGGTCACGTTATAAGGCGTTAAAAAGATAACATTTTGTACTAAAAAAAATTCTCTCAGACAATTTCGTGATTGCTTGGCTCAATATTGTTTAAACACGCATCAAAGATGAACACCAGCAAAGAGAAAATACACCATATTTAACAGTTTTTCTTCGATAAAGGCGAAAACGCAAGCCAGGTGGGTGATATAGTGTTTCTGTTTCCGATACAATAACAGCCAATCTTGCTCGGTTTGAGTTTTGTCGATTCCGTTCCAACTGCGAATCGCTGCTGAATGAATCGGTGGTTGCTTAATTTGGACGTGTACCGTCAACAATAGGACCGCCTGAAAGCAAAATCTCTCAGAAGCGGCAAGTTTTGGGCAATACACCAGGGCACACACAACGATAGTGACTCGCCAGAACCTGCGGGAACTTAGTTGAGTGGTGTTTCTGCATTCACCTTATATGCCGGACCTGCCATCAAGTGATTATTATCTGTTTCTGTTTTTGGCGAATGATGAAAAATTCCTCTTAAGAGAACTTGTGAAAATCGACTGTCCCAGATTTTTGCCAGCTAGGACAAAAATTCCTGTAAGAGTGGCATTATGAAACTACGTTCAAAACAGCAAAAGTTATCTAATAAAACAGTGAATAGTTGACTTAAATCGAAACATTCTATCTATGCTAAATAAAACCTTAAATTTTCTGCAAAAATATTGCTTTTTTTTGAACTTGATCTTATATTATATCGGTGCATTATTTTACTATGCGCCATAGAACGGAACAAATAATAATCGAACGGTGCAATATCTGGGGAATAGGGCGGTTCGGTTTCCCATTTAAGCGTTTCTAGATAGTTTTTAACGTGTTTGGCAATGTGAAGCCGAGCGTTGTCATGCAGCAGAAACACTTTTCGTTGAGTAGCGCATTTAGATGATTTGGCTTGGCGGGTGCCTTCCAATGCTGAAGCAAGTTCTTTTTGCGTTTGACACGGATCCGTATCGAGCAACGTCTCCAATCATTGTTGTTTGACTTAGTCCAATGAGCTTCAGCAGTCGCTTTCTTCGACCGATAGAAGAAAATCAACACTTCTCGCAAATGATGATTATTTGGCAAAACTCGGACATATTCGCACAACCAAAAATAGATGACAAATAAACAAAGTCACTAATGTGGAAACGCAATTTCTTTTTCAAATGTTTAAGTTAAGTTTATCATGCTTTCGTTATATCAAACTTGATCACCATTAACTGCTGGAGTCATTTACTGACATATAGCGGTAACTTAGTTGCACATCTAATATTAAACTGATAGTGTTTGTTTCGTGACACCCAGCCGGGGGCTTTGACTCTGTTAGACTACTTTGTATGTGTATACACCATTGGTCTATACTGATATACCAGCTATGACTGACCGGTTTGAACTCAACATTTGTCGGATTATTGGCGAATACCGGACGGCTGTGCTGGAAGGTTAGATAAAATTAGAATGGAAAGTCTATAAAAGACTCAGTTGGAGTGGCCGTATGCCCAAATTACTATAAAAAAAACTAAATGCTATAAATTTTCCGAAATAATAAACTTCAAACAATACATATTTCAAAAGACACGACCTTCACTTGCAATATAAATGTAAGGCAGAAGCACATATTTAATGGTGTCAAAGTTCCATTCAGTTGATTAAGGTGACATTTCAGAAGCAAAACTGAAGTACTCATTGTAAGCACCCACCTTTTGTACTAGTTAAAAAATTAACACGAATGTATTGGAGTATAAATGTTCATGGACTTATAGAACAAGCTTTTTATGACAACGTTCCATTTTCGAACAATGACATATATCCTTGCAAACATGTCACAATAAGGGTTTTGTATCCACATATACATAATACTTGTATGTATACACATACAAGTATATGTGCTTTTTGCGATATGTTATTTTCGAAGGTCGTTGCCTTGCCAGCGCATCCCCGCGCACTTTCGCCAAAAATAAACATGCTTTTAGTTTCCTTCAACACTTTTCTTAGTAGCTTCCTTGCGCTTTTCTTGACTTTCCTTGCGAGTTTCAATGATTTTTTGTTTCTCTCATGCCATTTTTTATTATTCTTTCGCATATTTTAGCGCAAATGGAGCGGAATTAATTTGACACTATACGCAAGCGTGTGTGTGTGACACACACTTTTCAAAATAAATATGTATTTATATACTTCATAAATACATATATAGACTTCAAGAACATATATATGCTGCGCACACACAGCCTTGCTTTCGAAAACAGAAACAATAGCAAAGAAAACAAGTAAGGAAGGGCTAAGTTCGGATGTAACCGAGCATTTTATACTCTCGCAAAGTCAAATAGTATACTCGTTTGAGATTTCTTTGTGGATTGACTGATATTTTCGGTAGAAAGTGAACTATAGGCACTGGGGTTCACATATTTCGTACTTAGGGACTTAAACAGTTTTGGTTCGATTTAGACAATTTTTGGCCACAAGGTGGCATACTTTAATTGCATTATTCACGCAAAGTTTTACCCCGATATAATCATTGTTACCTGATTTGCATAGTGGAAAGTGAAAGAATCAGATGGAATTTAAAATGGTGTTATATGGGAAGAAGGCGTGGTTGTAGTCCGATTTCGCCCATTTTCGCACTATGACATAGAAACATAAAAAGAACGTTATGCACCGAATTTGGTTGAAATCGGTTAAGCAGATCTCAAGATATGGGTTTTCACCTAAAAGTGGGCTGTGCCACGCCCACTGTCTAATTTTGAACGCGGTTCCTATAAAGTCATCTTATACCATCTCAGAGATAAAATTTAATGTCTCTGGCGTGTTTAGTGCTTGATTTATCGCGCTTTTAGTAGTTTTTAACAGTACCGTTATATGGGGAGTGGGCGGAGTTGCCACCCGATTTCAACTATTTTCACACCGTCAATAGAAGTGCTAAAAACATTTACTTCCAGTGAATTTTGTTATTATAGCATTAGCGGCTTAGGAGATATGCACATTAAACCTATTAGAGGCGGGACCACGCCCACTTTTTAAAAACAAATTTTAACTGCAGATGCCCCTCCCTAATGTGATCCTGTGTACCAAATAACAGTCTTGTATCTTATTGCGGAGCTTAGTTATGGCAAGTGATTTGTTTTTGATTAATGGCGTTTTGTGGGCGTGGCAGTGGCCCGATTACGCCCATCTGCAATACCAACCGTCTCACGGTACCATGAAACATGTCTACCAAGTTTCATAAAGATATCTCAATTTTTACTCAAGTTAGAGCTTGCACGGACGGACGGACAGACGGACAGACGGACGGACAGACGGACGGACGGACAGACAGTCACCCATTTCAACTCGTCTCTTCATCCTGATCATTTATATATATATAACCCTATATCTAACTCGATTAATTTTAGGTGATACAAACAACCGTTAGGTGAACAAAACTATTATACTCTGTAGCAACAGGTTGCGAGAGTATAAAAACTGGTGGAATTTGCGATGAATTGCCACGTTTACTTCTCTCATTGCATGGTTTCAGCTGGCTTGGCAGCTGTTCTTAAAAAAAAAATAAAATAAAATAAAGCAGAAGAACGTAAATAATATTTCAAAGACGCTCCATGCGTACACATTGCGCCGAAAGAATTCCGTTGTGAAAATAAGAATTGGCAAATTTTCGCTCTACTCGCTCGCTCGCCGCCAAGCAAACGTGCGGCCTGATGGCTGGGAATTTTGGCAGGGTCGCAATGGTAGGGCATACATAACTAGTCTCAAGTATGTAGCTCTTAGGCATATGTTAAGTTATGCAAGCACAAGCAATCTTGCCACTTAGTTATTATGGAAACATGCCGACGCACACACTTACCCCCATAAAAAGGGGTGGGGCAACATTCGCCGAAAGTAACATGCGTCTGCTTCACTCAGAGCTCATTTACATAAATATCGTTTACATGCTTTCGCGGTTGAGTCTATTTTTTATTTGCCTAGCATGTAAGCTCCTGCACTTCCATCGGAAATTATACACGCGTCATTTAGTTGAATGTAATCAACGCAAAACGTTTTTTTTTTTTGCTTTTTTGGCTGAAGGTCGGAAATTTTGTTTAACCCACGCAGTAACTGTGTATTAACGAAAGCTAGCGAAGTTTTCTAGTGCGAATCTGTATCTCTGCCACTACAACTCTCAGTATACGAGTATAACGCATTGCATACTTTCGGAGTTGGAGACTCTGGATTGATTTAAGCTACATACCATACATAGAATTGCCACTTATTTTTAATATCCCGAACTACATCGATGCCGGTATAACTTTCGCACAGCTCGTTGTTACATCTCGATATATGTATATGGCGACAAGAATATTTAGAGATTTATAAAGTTCTTGGCTTTTTGTTTTTTCAGAGTATCTTTCTTTGCTATTCTTTACTGAGAATAATGATTTAACGTTGGCTGTCATGACTGACATTTTTTGAATGACAAACCTTTATTAAATGAATACCTGTCTTCACCAACAGCTCCTATTAATTTCTTTATTTATTTATATTTTTTTTTAACAACTACTTAACGACACGGTTGTATTGACCGATGATCTTGATGTTTCGGTCCTCGCCGAGTTCGATGAGCCTCAGTTGTAAGCCAAAAGTTCCGTTTGACGTTTGACGAATGATATAAAAGCATATTCCTTGTCCATCTACTTAATCTTCGATTGGGTGGTAAGATTCACGTTGGGTAATGATGTGAATCTCGTGATAGGATTTGACTTTAAGAAATATAGTGAAATATCTTCTTTTATAAGGAACGTGAATGGTACTAATATCCAAGCATACTTTCTATGCAACTCCAGCGGTAAAGTGTAACAAGAAAAGGGGTAAGGTGGTGAAATTTAAAATAAAATTTAATAAGTTTATGCCGTTCTGTCGGTGTGCGAAGCTCAAAATGCTTTCTTAAAGAACTTACTTACAGACACACTGTCATCTAAATGGATCTGTAATTTCACTACCTAGCATTTCAAATTACAAGTATTTGCTTAACTATGGTATTTTCAGCTTTGCCAGTAAGACTTTAGCATGGTCCATACATTATAAAGATTAATGAGCACATTTTGTCAGAACGAATATAGCGTGGTATATTGCTATGGCGTGGTCACCTGCTTCTTCGTAAAGAAACCTAGTGTCTCTTGTATGTTTATGGTTAAGTTCATTTCATGAAATAGTTGTCTAGTTAATTGTAAAATTTTTACCCCGTATTTTCAGTAAAAGCCTCGCTAATAAATGGGCTGGAATTAACGGCAACGCAAAAAGTATTAGGATTATATTTAACAAACATATTATTCGGGAGTTTTCTAAAAGTTTTGATTATCAAATACATACTATAACAAGAGAGAGCTGACGGCGATTAGAATTCGGTAGAAAGATTAAACCATGTGGTTCATCGTCATATCGCTTAATTCGTTCAATGAAACCAAATATAGTTTTATGTACATATGCTAGTTTATCTCTTTTTGAAGCTTTCGCTCTTCGTAAATCCACATGACTCATTGCCAAAATAAAACCGCCAACGCATTTTCTCCCAAATAAAATATATATTCAAATTAGCTCGAGATTTTAGTAGCTCAACGCAGATATGAACTGATTGCTATTATTGTATATATATATATATGTGTGTATGTATGTTTCTATTCGTATGTCTGCGTTGAACTAAATTTATTTTTATAAATGGCTACTAAAATTTTATATCTTTCCAGCTCCCTTTTTTGACTTGCAGCTACCTCCTCACCAACTCACACACTGCTTCTGTAAATGTCGAAAAATATTGTGGCATGACATTTGTTAAAAGAAAAAGAGATTACTCTGCCGGAAGTCAGCGCTAAATGGCGAGTAAGAAAGTTGCGCGCTAAAAAATATGCTTCATTTTCCACAAACACAAACGCACACACACCAACACAACATCGCCAAATGACAGGGCGCGCATTAAAGCACGAATGTGGGTGGCCAAAGTGCGAAAGAGACAGCAGTTGCGAATTTTCATATGTACAAGTATGTATACGTATACTTAAGTGTGTTTATGTATTCAGTTGGCAGGATGCTGTGCAAGGTACAACAACAATGTTGGCGGAAGCATCAACATTGCTCATTTAATTTCGCATTTTTATGACTTTGATGGAATGCAGGCGCACGTGGTGCAAATATACATACACATATATACATACTTATGCGTATGCCGCGTTGAGGCTGCAAGACTGCACTTGACAATATGAATGATAAGTGTAATTTTGTGATATGCCACATGCCACGCGCTGGCGCTGATGCTTGGCAGTGCGCAAAGAAAAGCAAAAAAGAGAGAAAAACGAGAAAATGAGACAATGAAGCAAGAGTACTATCCATAGCGAAACTAAAAGCGCTGCAGCAATATTAACGGTTATGGTACAGGGTGTTTTGATTTTAATTTTTTCGGAAGTATCGAATTTCCTAAAGGGATAGCAGATAAATCAGCTGTCAAGCCAAACATATGTGTTTGACAGCTATTTTCAGAAAAGTGTGACAAACTACTATGCACATTTTCACACTAAAAGAACGCTTAAGGTTGTGAAAATTTGGTACCGAAACTCGTGCGGAAAACTTACGAAGTACTTCAGACATATTAGAAATGCGCGACATTTTCGGTGTAACTTCAAGCGTTCGTAAATATTTTGCAGGAGCCTTCTCATCGGATGTTGTCATGGTCCGTACTTCGAAGACATGTTTTATGATTGATTTTCTGAGCTGTTCGCACGACATTCGAGTCGATGTAATCGAAGCGGACACGGGTTTTTCTTATTATAGAACATTCTTCGTTCATTCCGAAAAAATTGATTCCGACAGTAGCAGCTCGCATGAAAGATTGCACTGAATAAGCGTAGTCGCTGGGTCTGAAATCTCGTCTAGTGTCTTATAGTTCGAAGAGGTCATTGCTTTTTTTGAATGACTGAGTTTTTGGCAGTGGCATTGCAGGAAAGAAATTACTGGAGTCGTTATTAGACATTCACATAATGCTAACGTTTTTGAGCATTCCTTTCATCTACCAAAAGGTGTTAAATTTAGTTCCGAAAAGATTCTGGAGAATCTTTTTAACCTTTTTTGCCTTATTCTTTTTGTTGTTTGCATATCGAAGATTTAACTGGTCCATATTTTTACAAATGTGCTAGGTGAACATTCTTTAGAGCTCAGGGGAGCCTTAAAGACAAATTATTTCCGATATTTCTGGTATACCAAGCAAATTTCGATCATCTAGGCACCAAGAGGTGCCAGCTGGAGGGTGCCTCAAGCTATACATTAATTGAAATCTTCATTTTTGTCGGTCTAAATTTCTGTGATCTCGTCAAATCTCATAATGGTTTCGTCAATAAGCAGCTAGGTCACTTAATTTGACTTCCTGTGACTATTTTTTGCGAGGTACGTCAAGTCAAAGGTCTCCACTGACAAATTAGCTACGAATGACCAATTAAAAACCGATATTTATCGTAATATAGGGCTATGCTGTCGAAAGTGATGTAAAATTGGCCGAACACGGTGGTAATATGCGCAAAATTTCGTGCAGATCTTCAAATAAATGAAATTCTCAAACAAAGAAGTTCAAAGTATTGAAAATTTCACCAAAGTTCCCGTTTTTTATTTAAAATAAATACTCTCTATTTCACAAAAAACACCCGTTATTAGTGCGCGTAGATAGTAGCTGCGTCAGCAGCTGTGACAGCAGTCATTTGTGTAGCTTCCGCGCGAGCATTTCTTTTATTTCATTTGCCGCTACGTGATACAAATTTTTATTTGCCTTTTCAATGCTCCAATACCGATTTACATGCGCAACGGCAGAACGCTGTGTAAATATATACATAATGCAATACATAGCTAAAGAAGCATCCTTGCTGCTAAATAGTTTTTTTTTTGTGTCTTCAACTCATTAAATTGCCAACTGTAAAACACATTTTACTTTGTTGCTGTCTCTTAAAAACCAATTTTTACGCGCTCTCTTCCTTGCATACTTTCATACATTTCCACGCTCGCCTCGATATTCATAAGCGCTGGCTGTTGCATGCCACAGCAGTAAGGTAAAGTTGGATGCATATAGACACATATATGTATAAGTGTATGTGTGAGTAGTGTTGTGTTTGCATATGCAAAGCAACAGCAAAATAAACTGCAGCGCGACTAACTTTTGGTTTCAAGTATGACATTTCCAAAGTAGTCATTGCTGCCAGACCGACTGTCGGTCGCCGCCTTCGATTGATAGCGTCTAGTGATTTCCCATTAAAGCGGTAGCGGTAATCAATACTTCCGCCACACTTACTGTCATTTCTTATTGACACAGCGCATAACTTAAGTGCAGTGTAGTGAATGTCGCAGACGATCAAAACGTAGCAAGCGGCGCGCCACCCACACTTTCGTGGCATAAAGTTGAGGCAGTTAATAAAGAAATTTTACAATCAATATTGCTACTTAGTCGCGCGATCAGCGCTGGCTGGCAATTTGACTTCACTTCACTTTCTTACTGGAGCAACAAAACAGAGTGCCACACACCCATACAAATATATACACACACAGAATGTCTACTTCAATTCCTCGCTTTTTATTGACGCTTAGCGTTTAACGCGTCGCCTTTGTTAGCTGCTGAACGACAGGATATTTGATTATTTATGAGCGCTAGTAGCCAAATTATGTCGGCACTCGCTGCCAGTTTAATCTGTTCGAATCGTCATGCAGCCGCTTATTTTCATTATTTTTGTCGCAGATTTCATTGCTGTTGCTGCTGTTGTGTTTGTTGTCATTTGCTGCCTTCGTTATGTTGGTCATTAATGGCATTGTTGTATTTTATGACATCGTTAACACTGCATACGGAAATGTATTTACCCATTCGATTGTCTAGAATTTGTTATTGTTGCTGTTTAATGTTGATTAGCTGTTGATGAGCTCTAATATTATGGCGTTGGCTGACGCAGCAGACACTGTGTTGAATTGCAAAAGATATTTGGGAAAATTTGTGCGAGGTGGAGTAAGGAATGGAATCAAACGGTATGTATGTATGTCCAGTTATGTGTCGGCCTTAACTTTTTTAAAATTACCAGGGTATTTTTGAAAACAAAAAAACGGTAATATACAGCAGAATTCGGATACACAAGTATATATATGTTTATATCGAATATTTATATAAGTATATATCTACAAATTTTTTTGCAAAAAACAAATTTTAATTTTACAAAATTTTATTTGATTTAAAACAAGACATTTTTAATATAAATGAAGTGTGTGCAAATAACTTGATACTACTTCGACGGCTAATAATAATCATAAGAAAGACAAAGCAGGATTCTAACTATACATATGTATGCCTATATAACAGTGTTTTGAAAACTTCTGAAACAGCAGTCGCCCTTTTAATCGGCTTCGAC